TCATATGATTCCACGAGTCTCAATTAAAGTTTTCAAACACGTATTATACATAATTTTATTTTGCAGACTTCAAATCGAATGATAAGTTAAAGGTGTAAAAGGAAGGAAGTACTAAGTTTCTAAATTTGCAAATATTTATCTCCTTTGATAAAGATATTGGAACTTCACTTTTTAAGTGATTAACTGGTTAAACCGACGATCATCTTTTAAATCCAAATATCTATCAGGCAGCTAACAATATTCTGACAATTGATTGCAGAACAGTCTCTTTACTATAAGATTTATTATTTTTTTTTACTTAATTTTTTTTACTTAATTGTATCGTATATTTTTGTAGGGCAAATGTGCCAGCTTACTACTCAATTAGTGGGCTAATTATAAAACTGCATTAATTGCGTTAGTGTAAACGTATGGTAGGGTTTTAATAAAACAAGGAACAACACTACATGAATCCTCATTTTATGGTCACTTAATGGCATTATCTGCAATATTTAACGAAAAATTTATATAATTAATTATATTGAAATGATTTTTGAAGATTTTTAGTAAAATGTTTATATTGTCTTTATTCACCTTTTTACGGTATTAAGAATATTTTTTGATGGCTTTGACGTACTGTCATTGCATTTCGATTTCAACTCGATTTCCATTTCTTTCAACTGTTTTCAACTGACACTTCAGACGTTTCATATGTTTTATTGTTGTTGGTTTTTTTTTCTTCTATTACGCAAAGAAGAGGGAAAGCACAAACAATAATAATAAACAAATCAAAACAAAAACAAAACAGTAGTAACCATTAAATTGCCTTGCAGGCCTTAACAAATGTAAAGGTCTAGGTCGTTAGTTGTACGTTGTTTGTAGGCGCCGCATTATGCCAGCATTTTGCATGCAATAAAAAAAGCACAAAACACAACAACAACAATGGAAATATATTTTTTAATTGTCCACACAGACTAGTCAGTCAGTCGGTGATTTGCCTGTCAGCGAATTTTTTTGACAGCATCGCATGGGTTGGTTGAATTTGCGTGCGTGCCGGTGCCCGTACCTGCCAAGCATAAGAATGCACTTCATTTAATTTAATTACAAAAACAAATTAATTATAAAAAAAGCCAAACAATAACAAAAGTATGTAGTCACAGTGATAGCAGAAATGCTAGCAGTGACAGACCCTCAGTCGTATTGTAATATCATAACTCATTATTCCTTAAATAATTGTTGTGGTTACTTGCGTTTAATTGTTATTCATTCTGGATTAGAAATATAAATAGAAACTTATGATTTTTTTTGCTACGTACCGCGATTTTCTACATATTCTAATTTTGTATTCACCACACTCACCACTACCAAAAGTTTGACGCCAGCGTATGTAAAACTATGAACGTTCGACTCATTATTCGTTAAATAATTGTTGTGGTTACTTGCGCCTAATTGTTATTCATTCTGGATTAGAAATATAAATAGAAACTTACGATTTTTTTCGCTACGTACCGTGATTTTCTACATATTCGAATTTTGTATTCACCACACTCACCACCACCAAAACTTTGACGCCAGCGTTATCAAAACTGTGAACGTAAGTAAGTTCGACTCATTATTTGTTAAATAATTGTTGTTTTAGCTATCTCAACCGCGATTGTCTACTACTTCTAATTTTGTATTCACCACACTCACCACCACCAAAAGTTTGACGTCAGCGTGTATGCAAAACTATGAACGTAAGTAAGTTCGACTGAGCTAAGCGAAGAGTTGAGCTAAAATTAATTTGCCTTTTTAACGTGAAAAATTATATTTTTTCATTTGTGAAATTTGTTTATTGCGATTATTTCGTGATAAATTAAGCGATTCGTTGCTAATATTAAATATTTTTGTATTTCGTAGGCGTCCCGAATTGTGCTAATTGAACTCAATTTGCATGCATTAGAGCGATTACCCAGCTAGGCTACTTGGCTGCTACTTACGGCTGCAGTTAATACTAGTATGAATTATTTATTAGCGTCTCTTCTCACTTATTTGTTCTCCTTGCGATGATTCAGTTTTGGCTTGTTATGCTTACTGCCCCTTATCGACTTACAGATCAGATAGATCAATAATAAATTTAATTGACCAAAAAATTCACTTTTATAATTAAATTGTTAAAGTAAATTAAATTTAGTACGAAACGAAACTTCCGCTTTGTGACATTTCATCAGAAATTTTTATTTGTTTATATGACGGCATAGCTTAACTAGGTTTCACAGTAATATAATGGCATCTAGACGGTGATTGTGCTATCAGGCATCGACTCTAACATATTCGCATCAATATTTCAATGGATTGTCGAATAATCTTTTTTTTTTATTAAGCACGTTATTCATTTCTGTTCTTTTCTTAATGGTCTAGTTAAGCAAATTGACTTATAGTTTAACCGGAAGATGAGAACAATATCAGGTATTGTGAAGGATTTATCTCTACAGTGACTGGTAATTTTGTGTATTTTGGCTCTTGCTCGAGAATCCGATAAATCCGATAATGATAATAAGTTCTTCCCACTTTCGCTTCTTGCTTTTAGCTATCTCAAGCTTGTTTTGTGTGATTTGACTATTTGACTCTTGCTCGAGAATCCGATAAATCCGATAATGATAATGATAATAAACCTCTGGCTTAGGCTAAAATCTCGGAAAAACTCATTGTATGTAAATAACAATCTATGCGTGCCTGTATGTCAAGCAAACAAACTTTGACTTTTTAGCTAGTTCAACTCTTGAAAATATCACCGGTTTTGCACTAGAAGCCTATCCCACTAATCTAAATTTGGCAAACTGATAAAGTGCCACACTCTAGTTAGTCCAACTCTGGAAGATACTCAACCAACCTATATGCATTAGATGCCTATCCAATCAATAGGATAAATAAGCTTACCAAACCAATAATCGCTAATAATGGACATCAAAGATATCTACTGACCTGCAACTGCTATGGAGCACTAGCTACTCCAACTCTGAAAAATACATAATTCTTTACCAATGACCAGTGATGTGCAATGACTTTCATAATAAAAAGTAATTCAACTTACTAAGAATCGTGCTCAATGATGCTCACCGACTGTTAGGCATTGCTTCCAATTACAAAACATCTTCAAAATATGAAACTAATTATATGGCTGCATTCCCAAAACAAATGATTGAATTAATTGTAACTGATTCAACATCTGATCAATGGATCCAAACTGGATAATAGATATATATTGATACTAGTAGACATAAATGCAATGAGAGTTTCTTATCAAAGTCAAGCCCATTCTCTTTACATATAATCAAATAGTTATTTTTAACAATTTTGTATTATAGATAAATGTATAATATAAAGATGTAATTCAAATGAATGATAAAGCTACATATTATTAAATATTTTCTTCATTATTGTTCCTCAAAAATATTTTTCTCTGCACCAATGCATATCTCTGTAGTGTGACCATTTGATTCTGCAAATAGTCTTTTACTGATATATGTTCATCCATTATTAATCGTTCTCTAATTGATGTTCGATGCTTGTTGTGGCAAATAAAAATCCTATCCTGGCCTGTTCTGCTTGCTAGAATTACACTTCGATTATTCCACATTCCCCACTGTTTATGTTTTGCTAATGCAATCGTATAATTTAACGATCATAGCTGCCTTTTTTCCAAGTATAATAATGCAACGCAATCATATATCTTCCAAGCACTCCATACTAAATAATAATAGCCAAGAATTGCAACAGGTTTGCGGGCAGGAATTATGGTTATTGAATCTATTTTTATCCAAACTGTAGCTAACCAAAGGAAAACATGTTGCGACTGCGGCCAAAGAGCTCGCATACCGACATGTGCAGCTGATCTAACTATAGATTTAATTGAAGAGTATAAATAGACAACATCAATTTTGTATTTGAATTTTTCTTTTTTATTTTTTTTTCAGAGTCCCGACATAAAAGTTTTTTTCAATTTGCCGGAGTCATGTGAAAATGCACCTAAGGATGCTGTGGATTTTATAAAGCCCACAGTCGAGAGTCTTCCGTTGGTAGCTTCATTGGATTGTCAAAATTTTCTACCATCTGAAGTAGCTGATTTGCCACATGAAGGCAAGGATGTTTTGAAACGTCTCTTAGAAGTTGATCCAAAACTTCGTTTGCGTTCTGTTTTGGGATTGCAGAAAATCGCTCTTTATCAACATTTCAAAATAAACGCAGAGTATTTATTAAGTGTAAGTATTCCATTCATTCAGATTTGTGATTTACAGTAATATTTAATATTATTTTACTTTAAGGTAAATCCACTTGATATTATGGAAAAGGATAACATTCCAGTATATAAAGGCAACTGTTATGAAGAGACTTCTAGTGCCATAGCAACAAAAGCATTCCAAGATTTTTAAATCTTTGAATCTCATCTCTTTTATTTTTATAGTTTCTTTTTAGCAAACAATAATAGTGAAATAAAGAAAAAAACACCCCGGGATTATATTTTATTTTCTAGAAATTAAAAGTTGAAACAGTTAAGCTATATACTTATATTATATTATATATATATTACATTATATTTGTCAGAATCTGCTATTCAACTCTGTAGACTAAAGCCTTATTGTGAATTAAGTTGGCCTAGGTCTCTGATTGAAAAATGGTTTTCTACCGAAAGAAGCCGCTACTGGCGTGAAATTCCAGTTAACCGTCAGACTAAAGAGCTGGTTCATCCTTACAATTATGGTAAGGTATCCTTCCTCAGCAGAAGGGAGTTGAGGTTGGGTGGAATACCAAGGTCACCACGGACAACGTTATCACCTTAACAAAATGGATCTGTCTGAAGAGATAGATTGTCGATTCTGCTTAGAAACAGGCAAGACTTCCAGTCACATTCCCTTTCAAGACTGAATAAATCGGGCAATCTTGTGTTCATTTTAAATAAGAAAGTTAATTAATTTGAACAGGACCGATTTCGACAATGATACATCCTTTGTAGTCGATTATTGCTTAATAGGTAGGCATACAGAGAGATTAAGAGTTCAAACCGATGAGTTTTACAACCTCTGCAAAGTGGAATAATTATCAATCTCTTATTAATTGTGCAGATATGTAGCACTGAATACCGGCATATTGTGGCAATGCTACTATTCTTGGATAATTCTTTTTTAAGGACCCCGAATAACTATCAGATAATCTTATTGGAAGCCTTGCAAAATTCATAAAAAAAATTAGTTAAAATGATACAGGTAGATGTTTATACAGGAATACACTTATCATATAAAACTCTCTAAAAATAATAAACAAAAATTACTAGCTAGACGGATTGGAATAGCAAAGAAAAGACAAGAACAAAATTTTATTTAATTTATTGAAACTTGGCTGACCATACAACGTTGTTTTGAGTATTGCCAAGTATTCATCAGCAGTGGTCTTAGAAAATATTCGAATTTCGTAATAAGTTCGTATATAATTTCTTTGGATAGCAAGTGCCAGGCTTAGAACTGGTGCCTGTCAAAAAGACTGTACAAACTTTCAATGCTCAAGTTCCAGGTTATTTGTCACTTTTTATTTAATTAATGACACTAGCTTTAGTGACTAAAATAAGAGCATTATGGCGGTTTACTTGAAGTCTGTCACATACACGCCGCCAAACTTAAACTCACAATTAAGAGCACAATATAAAAATTATCTACATTTATTAAAATAATTAAATAGTATATTTATACATCCCTTTGCAATTAAATTGCAGTACTGTCACTTCACTCATGCATGCAATAGTGCTCAACATATGTTGATAAAAATACACCACAACAAATTGGTATAAATATACATAACTACATAGAATTTTTGAAGAGTTTGTTAATCTTTGATAAATAAAAAACTATTTAAACCATTAGTCATCACTCGTATTATGTTATTTTTATGGCCGTGTGCGAGTTGGAGTAAATTGATAGTAAATTGGGGGAAATAATAAATTATGTCGATATGGCAGCGAATGTTGGTATTAACCAGAATTTCAAATCGGATAAATTAGATAAAACTTAGGTTAATTAGGTGTTACCATTGTGAAAAGATGTTTATATGTTATAAGATGTTTATAAATAAATAAATAAATTTGAAAACTTTTAACTAAAAATAATAAATAATTGCAATAAATAAATAAATATTTACAAAAGTGCAGTGCAAAAAATCGCTAGGAAACTTCAATTTACTTTATCTCAATTTACTCGACCTCGCACATTGCTTTAGTTGAAATTTTATTCGAGTTTTTCCAGAGTTTCTGAAGCATTACTATTAAGACCGACAGTTTCTTATCAGCTTGCATGATTTTTCAATGTAAATAACTTCAATTAAAATACATTGCATACTTTTTGGCGCACATTGCAAACAAATTTATTTATCGGTAAATTGTCATCTTCTTTACAAACATGGGCAAAAACAGTTCCTTTAAATTAAAAAACTTAAAGGAAAAATATACTTTTTTTGATCAGTATATTAAAATAATTAAATTTTATAAAGTTTTAACTTTATTTTAATCAAGTAAATTTCTTTCTATATGCTTAAAAAATGCAAATAATTGCAAAATAACTTAACCAGTTGCTATCAAATCAGCTGACCGTTTTCATATGTTCACTGTTTTCGCGCCAAAAGTTAATTTATTATTTCTATTATTATTCCTCCTTTCGCCGTTGTTGCTTTAACAGCTGAGCAGCAGCAGTTGAGTTCCGCGTACTCGCATTGCTTATGTCTGACATTTGCCTCTTCTCTCAATTCTCTCCATCCTTGACGATACTTTCCTTCCTTTTTGTTGCAGTGAAAAATTTTACTTTTAGTCATGAAATTTGTGGCTGAGCCTTTGAAAATTAAAATGCCATAGGTGAAAGTAAATAAAAGCATTAAATTATTTATTAAATATAAAGAAAACGAGGTGCTTTCATAAATAAATTAAAAATAGTGAACGAATTTAATGAATATTGCAACCGAATTGGCATTAAATAAAAGGACAATGGAGCAGTTGAAAATTTAATATTTCACACACACATATACACAAGCAAACACATTCACACACACGCGAACGGGGGGAAAATTGAAAGCAATATTTTGTAGAAAAAATGCATAGTTAAATATGCAAATATTTTATTTATTTAAACAAAATAAGTGTGTGCAATGCATAATAGGGAATTTTCACGCGGCAGTAGAGCAAAAATCTGTAGGATTCATCAAATTTTAAGCACCCAAAACCCACCACCAGCCAAAGCGTTTTTTTCATGTAGTTAGAGCAGCAGCCCCACCCGCTGACAAACCGCGCTACCCACGTTGGCGTGCTGGAAAAATGGCAGTGGAGCACAACTTCATAGGCACTTGGGAGGTAAGTAATATTTTATTTATAAATATTTCATTCAATCTTTTATTAAAAAATTGTTATCTTCTCTTCTTCTTACTCAAGATTGTGTCGTGCACTTTTGAGGGCAAAACAGAAATTTCTGGATTAGAGGGGTAAGTGTTAAGTGTAAGATTTTACTTTAAGAAAATATTAAATTCCTCTTTTTTTTTTTGATATGTTATAGTATAAAATTTCGTTTGGATGATACGAGCGATATAACTTGGTACAATGACTTGGTTAGTCCCCTTCCTGAATCAAAAGACTGTGGCACCTGCTGCGATTCAGCTAGTGTCTTATTTAGTTGTGAGACATACGATGTTAACGATACCAATCCACGTTTAGTATTCGGAGCATTTGCTGGGCATAGCATAGAATTTAGAGTAAGCGCTTGAAGTAATGCCCTTTGAGCTTAAAATAATTGCTTGGATTATGTTTTCTTAGACAAATACCTTAACACCGACTGATATCTTAGTTTTGGATTGTGAGAATTGGTATGCTTTGGAGTGTAAGCGTCTGAAGGAGAGTCAAGCAGCTGGTCAGGAAAAGGAATTTTCATTTGCTGAAGCTTTAAGTGAAACATATTTCAGTGATGTGGTCATAAAAAGCTCAAATAATTTGGAAGTAAGCAATTAATTAAAAATTATTAAATTTATTTCCTTTAAATTTTTTCTTAATTTATTTTAATTTTTTATAGATTTAAATTGAGTTTTCAAGGAACGCTTTATGTTTTTATTGCATTGATTAAAAAGGTTTTTATTTCTATAATTTTTATTCAATACAGTAATCCCCCCTATAACGCTTTCATATTACGCGATTTCAATGCATACTCCCATATAACGTGGGAATTTGTACAGTTCATAATTGGCTTCGCATACCTTTGCACGTGTTTATATGGGGTATACGGGAATATCCCTATAACAGGTTTTCCTATAACGCGGAACTAATCTACGGCGTTATAGGGGGGCTTACTGTTTTTTGTTATTATTTTATAATTTAAACTAAATGAATTTAAAAACAATTTACATAAAATATTATTTTGTTTTAGATTTTTATTTTATAATGTTATGTTTTAAGAAGACAACTTTTAATATCTTTATATTAAATGAATTCGAACTTAATGTATACATATTCTCTAGAAAATTAGATCTCAACTTCTTCCTCCGACTGCCAAACCGCTGCAGTGTTTTTCAGGCAAAAGTAGTCGCCATCCATTATGTAGTACAATGGGTTCTATGCAATCAAATACCTGATGGTTCTATTTCAATTTTCTCGGATAGCCAAGTTGTCATTAAATCAATCATACGCATTTTAGCCACATCAAATATTATTCAAAATTGTCGAGCTTCCCTCAATGACATAGCTAGGCGTGTCGTGATCCAACTCATATAGGTTCCGGAACATAGGGACATCTCGCGCAACTGCAGCTTCCCAAGTCAGACGCTCTTCTCCCTGACATTTACTTCTTAGAAATAGGCGTTTCACTTGCTACAGTTAAAATGGCAATAAAACAAAATACCTGAGCATTGCCAAGCATCAATGAACAGCATTGTCAGACATCAAGGTTGATTTAGTCTAACTTGATTAAAAAACGCACTAGTCAGCTACTTCAACTAAGGCGGAACCTGCTCAGCACAACGGCATCTGTGGTGACCTGTTACTGCGATATGGGAAGACATGCTGTGATACTGGGTCTACCCTATAATGATTTTTGTCGCGTCTGTGGCTCTGAGAGTGAGGAGGAGACCGTGCTCCATCTCATGTGTTAGTGCCCTTCTTTAGTTAGGAGAAGATTAAAAATCTTCGAAGCCTGTTTTATTATCGACCTGACCGAACTGTTATCCTGTAATATTAGGGCCAAATTTATAGAACTGTTAGGTTGGTTTTCCTTTACCTAATGGGGGAGTCGTTAATTTTTCTCGGCACAATGGTTCCATAATATGCCATTATATGAGTTCAAGTGAGTTTTTTGGAAACAAGGCCGCCACTTCAATCTACCTACATCGACTTGATATTATTTATATAGTTCTATCTAATTATGATTTGTATAATAGTTAATATAAAATTGTTAGTGTCTAGTTTTTTTTTAA